CTTTTTTCCCTTTAATAGGTAGGATTAGGGCCTTCGTTTCCCGTTTAATTGGTAGGATTAGGGAAAGGTGGTTTCAGGAGGTGTCCAGTGATGTTTTTTTTTTTTTTCTTTTTTCTTTTTTGGTCCCCCAAAAAAACGCCCCCGCCAGTGTTAGTGGTGCTGATAAGAGCAGACACCACTAGCACCTGGGGAGAGGCTCCATCTATTGGTGGGGAGCATCACCTGCTGGAAAACGGGTCCAGCGTCCCATATACAAAATGAAATTGGGGTATATCAAAACAGGATTGTGTGAAGTTCCTGCCAGCATTGATTACCCTGGGATCCAGGCGATTGACTGAGCAGGCTATTGGAGAGGGGGGAGAACCTCTTCGACCTGAAACCGGCGCCAGATCCCTGCTGCTACACACTAGTTCCTCCCTCCCCCTACCAATGAATAATTTGGAATCCAGGGTGGCATTACTCTGGTGACCAGAGGATCGACTGTGCAGGTTGCTGAGAGATGGGCACCAAAACACCGGCTGCTGAGAAGATACAACTACCAGCCTGCCAGCCACCATCCTTAAGTCGTACAACTACCAGCCTGCCAGCATTGATTGCCCTGATTGCCAGGGGATTGACTGAGCAGGTGATATATCTATCTTGTGGATGAGTGAGTATCTGATAAGCACTACCCGGGGGGCACCGGGAAGGCTTATCTCATTTTTGCCTGATCCAATGTTAGGTGAAGACTTCCATCAGGGCAAGGGGGTGAGGGGAAACGGGTCCAGGAAATCAGACGGGGGTCTCATCAGGAAAGATGGATCCATATGAGTCCAGTCATTGAAAACAAGTTTGTAGTCTCTTGGGATTTCTTGTTCTCTTATAGCTGCCTGAACTTCCGTCCACTCAATCTGAGCCATCCATCCGCCCCGATCTCCCCCTAACCACTCCCTGCAGAAACCCGTAATCGCCCTCCTGGTCCGTCTGAAAGATATCTAACTGTGACTTAATATCCCTCCATCTATGTCTTAGCTCTAAGTGTACCAGCTCCCTTATTTGTTCTGTCAATTCGGGACCTTCAATTTTAACCAAGACTAAGAGGCAGCGCTGCCACCAGAGCGCCCATAGGATGGATCGTCTACCCAAGTTGTACAGACTGCTGGCATAGGTAGGGGCGTTTTCCAGTGCTGGGCATTGTCCTGTCAATATGGCCTGCCAAGACCATGGCCAAGGGATGTCCGGTATCATTCTCCTCCAGATGCGGTCCCACCACCGCCACGTCAGTAAGGCCACTGGGCACTGCATAAAGATATGTTCAATGGTTTCGTTTCTTTTTTGCATTGGGAAGGCAGACAAGCTCGGTGGCACCACGGGAGCGCTTTGCCTTTTTGTTCCAGGTGTGTGTGGTCAATTCGCCAAGCATTCGTCGGCAGGCAGCGATGAGCAATCTGCCATTGTAAGGAGGTAATTTTTGCTGGTCTTGCTTTGCTTCCATTAAACCAGTTAATTGGCTTGAGGAGGGCTTGATCCACGTTCAAATGTTTAGCCCGTTTGTCATTGATTTGGTCGATTAGCACTCTCTTGGGTCTGAGCAACTTATACATGGATTTGACAGACATGGTGTTGAGGTGGATCCTCTTTCCGGTTGCCGCTGCTGTTCCCCGGGTCGTCTGCCATTGCCATTCCTCAAGGTCAAAAGGCAGCTCATTTATTGGTGTTTGGGGAGAGAAGACGATGGAGTCCTGCCCTTCTTGTAGCACACGCACTCGAAACACCTCAGTTTTATCCCGCCACTCAAAGGGGTTGCGGGAACCAAGAAGCTTCCCCCTTAGACCAATGTCGTAATACTCCACCAACACGTCCGATGTCCGTACCACATGAATCCGGCCAATCCGTGCCTTGTCCCTTGGTGTAGCGACCCAGTCCCCTTCCTCCAGGGTGGGGCCCCGATTGAGCACCCTCTACCAGGCGAGGGGGGGTGCCTCAATAATTGTTTCCAGATGCCTCTCTGTGTGATGACAGTAGCGGAAGGTGCCTTGAAGCTGGGATGTTGTTTTCCAGTCCTTCCTCTCATGGTCCCACAGGTGCCCGACGCGGAGTATCCCATTCTTCACCCAGCCTTTCTAGGGGGCAGCTGAGTTGTTCAAAATTTGTGCATGATAAGGAGTAATCCACCGATTTTCGAAAAGTGGCTATCGGTACACTTCCTCCCACTGCGTCGATGCCTGTTTCTCGGGGAGGGGGAGCCTGCGCCAGCTTTTTAATAACGAGGGCCAAATTTTATCTGTTGTTTGGCCATAGATATTGCGCGGGATTGACCAATAACGATCCTCTAACCACGTGAGTGGGCTAACTTCTGATGGGGCCGGCGGAGCCAGACGAGCAATATGCTCCAGGACGAGGGTTCGCCAAGGGCTGTCTGAGGAGAAGATTAAAGTCTTCAGCCATTTAAGACGGAGTGCCTGAACTTGTGTCAAGGGATCGATGATGCCAAGGCCTCCGACTCGTTTTGGTTGTATAACAGACTCCCATGCCACCCTACTGATAACATTTGCTCGCTCAACATCTCCTCTCCAAAGGAAGGTTGCTGCCCTAGACCTAAGCGATTGGAAGGCAGTCCTGCTCAGGGGCCAAAGCACTGATTTATACCACAATGCAGCGAATACGACGTTGTTTATGGCCAGCGCCCAACCAAAGAGAGAAGTGTGCTTGTTACGCCAATCGGCCAGTTTGGATAAGGCGGGTGCCGAAATCCAGTCGTCATTTGAGGATGGACGACCTTGGGCAGTTAATGATACTCCCAAAAAATGGACGGGGGCCTACAAGGTCTCCATAATAATTAGAAACAGAAAGGGCGCAATAGGGTCGCCCTGCCGAACCGACCGTTCTAGCTCAATTGGAGGGGCTAGGGTCTCGTTTATTTGCACCCTTGTAGTAGCGTTTTGATGGAGGATGCGTATCCACCTACGAAAGACTGGCCCAAAATTCATTTTTTCCAGACTTTTATCAAGGAAGAGCCAGTCCACATGATCATAGGCTTTTTCAAAATCAATGAAAGTGAGGGCTGCATTTTGCTTATCCTGACGGGACAGCTGCAACACCTCATTTACCAGTAAGATGTTTTCCTGAATTTGCCTATGTTGCATAAACCCTGTCTGTGATGGGTGGATCACTCCCTCTAGGAACGGGATCATCCTGTTGGTCAGTGCCTTGGCCAACATCTTATATGTAATAGTCAGGAGTGTAATGGGTCTGTAGTTTCGATATTGAATTTGTCTCCTTTTTTGTATAGAAGGGACAATACACCCTGATTGACCAACTCTCCCATTTCCTGTGTTCGCCAAACTTCATTGTAATACCCCATTAGATCAGGGTTCATACAATCCCACATTGTCTCCCAAAATTTTTTGGTAAACCGTCCAGCCCGGGGGTTTTCTCCTCTTCTATTTGTAGGAGAGTTGTCCATATCTCTTCCTTAGACAGGGGTGCCTCTAACTTCTCTCGCTGGTTGAAGAAGAGGCATCTGTCAATAGGCTGGAGAAAATCCTCTATTTGTTTGGAGTTTTCATTAGTAGGAGGGATATGGGTTGCAAAGAGGTCCTTGAAAAATCAGGAGCCATTTAACGCATCCAGCGGTTGTGGTGACCGGGTGAGTCTCTGACCCCCCAGGCTCGTACAGTGCTTCCACGACTGTGCGCTTCGCTCTAGCACGAGCAAGGCTGAAAATTTTGTGTCCATTGAACCTTGAGTGGAATAATTAGAAAGTTTACCACGAAGTTGGGCGCCTTGCCAACGATACCGAGCTTGCTGAAGTAGTTGAGTTTTTAACTCCCTGGATAGTATGTACGTAGAGGTCTGGGTCGTGAGGTGTCGGCGACTGCTCTAACTCTTGAAGTTGGCTTAGCAGGTCTGCTTCGTGCTGATTTCGCTGTTTAGCAAGTTGCTTGGAAAATTCATTGCATTTTTTTTCCAGAAAAAAAACAGTCCATTATTGAACCATGTCAGAGGGGAGTCTATCTCCGGGTAATGTTCTTGCCAGTATGCCCAAACTTGAGTCAAATATCAGACAAGGAGCCATTTAATTTTGTAGCAAATAAAATTCAATACTTGTCAACTTGTCATAGCTTTAAAAAAATAAAAATAAATGAGAGGACACAGTCTGCTTTGCAAATGTTATAAGTGAGGAGACAGAGAAGGAGAGTAAGTTTCTCTCTCCAATGAACAACATTCTAAATGCATCTAGAACTGGTAATAGTCCCAATACATTCAAAAGGTTAGATCCATGCGAATCTATCTGGGATACCAGACGGTCCAGGTACATGTAGAATGTTGTGTAGCGCAGCGAGGCCCTTAGTAATGTATTGAGGGGGCATGAATGAAGCTCTTTTTCTTTTCCGCAGACAATATTATCAATACGTTGTCATTTTGTGATCCTTTTTCGTTCGTTCCTTGCCCTTCTTGTCTTTTTGTCAATGCTCATTTCTCTTCTTTTTTGTTTTTGTGTCGCTTTCCTTGTGTGTGTGTGTGTGTGTGTGTGCGTGTGTGTGTGTGTGTGTGTGTGTGTGCGCGCGTGCTTGTGTGTGTGTGTGTGTGTGTGTTTGTGTGTATGCGTGCGCGCGCATTGCTTGTGGGTGTGTGGGTGTGTAACCATGCAGGATGCAAATATAGCTTTGCTTAAATGTCTTAAAAAGGCTGCGCTGGAGGCACGGGACTACACGAAGCCTGCTCCTGAACTGAAGCAGACAATGTTGTGGGAAGCACTGAATGCGCAGGGATGAGAGGCATCTCTCCCCCACCATACCCCCGGGGCTTCCAGCTTGGCTTTACGTGAAGTTCTTTTGCCGCTTTCTGCCGGGGTATCTATTATCCACACATGCATCTCTCTCTCTCTCTCTCTCTCTCTCTCTCTCTCTCTCTCTCTCTCTCTCTCTCTCTCTCTCTCTCTCTCTCTCTCTCTCTC